TTGGACTTGATGATCTTAAAGGTGTTTTCTAACCTAAACAATTCTATGAGTTGCTTATCTACTACTCACGCTTGATGACTTTAATAGGCTTTAGGTGGAAAGAAGAGTAAGACACTCATATTCGTTCTGGTCCTCTATATAGCAGTCAATTTAATTTTCATAGCTGGAGCCCCGTCAGCTGCTGCAGTGGGACCAGTCATCACTACTCACATTTCTAAGAACCTGAAGCAGTCTTGGTGACCGTAGATTTCCGCAAGTCTCTTGGGAGTGTCACCGAAGAGGTCGGCCGCATCCATAGCAGCGTGCAGGGAATGAAGGGTGCGAAGGACCCCCAGTCTCCCTGACTCAGCTGCAAAGTGAGCTGGAGTCCAGCCCACGTTGCTCCGCAGGCAATGCCGGGCCCCGTGATCCACGAGGAGCTTGACCAGCTCCGATTGCCCTTGTGTTGGGCAGCAGAACAGGGAGAGAAGATGCACCTGCATTAGACTTTATACCTTCAGGATGCAGACGACAGTCACACACAGTTGATCATAATTCCCTTAGTCATGTAACAATGGATTTTACCCCCAACCTGGCCATTTGATTTATCAAACAAATGATACTCATTAGAAAATGCTGATTTTTTTTTCCAAACTGGACTGCTTCCAAAGGCATTTTACAACAACAAAAACAATAAAATCAAAAAGATTTCTACTAATTTCTGAACAGCACATCTCAATTAGTCATTGACCAATTGGTTATTGACGATTTTGTTGTTTCATTTTGGCTTTTAGTTCAATACAAAGTAAAATTTAAACATTAAAAAACTGGAAAATCTGTGAACAGCTTTACTAAAACAAAGATTTGTTTGATAGGAGATAGAGAAATTACTTGTTTTCATTCACCTTCATATTTTTCAAACCTATGGAATTGCTTAAAGAAGCAAAAAAGTTATTTCTACCTCACTTCACACTGCTTTGACTGAACTAGATCCTTCCCAATGGCACCTAGGCCATGCCAGTCTCTCATCATCATTTTCTTAAATCGCTCAGTTCCCTTTGCTGCTGCCCAAATGAGTAAAAATCCATCAGGGCACAAGTAAAACATGGTGTCAAGTGTAAACCAGCAAATCACACGCTTGATTTCTGAGCAAAGACAGATGCCATGATGTGAGATCCCAACGTGTAACAAACACCCTTGCAAGGAAGAGTACAGGCCCAGTTTCCCATTTTACACTGTGTACAATTATACATTATATATTGTTGCATTCATCTCCTTTCTGGGCTGCAAAGGGATATTTGACTTTAACAGTCACTTCTGAGGGTGAAGGACCAACGGGAGCTGCAAACAACTCTGGTTCTGTGTTCTTCATTCGACCAGGTGGCATAAAGGGAGGGCAATGTAAAACACAGTGTAATTATTTTGTTTTATTGGGTTTGATAAATACCTGGTATAAATTATTTTGTTCTATTGGGTTTGATAAATACCTGGTATAAACACAGTGGGTTTGATTTTCTGCTTATTCATGCAGGTGTACGTGAGAAATAACTCCTCTGCACTGTATGAAATCACCTCTTAGAAAAGCAATGTGGGGGACAAGCAGATATGCTATACGTACAAATCATGTAAATTGTAAATTTTCACGTGAGGAAAAAAAAAAGCTAAAAGAGCACTTTGATGGCAATCTCATAAATTATTTTGGAGGCAATGTTCTCATTTAAATTGCTATTTTTTTCTTTTTTGTTCATTAAGGACAAAATGCTCAGATACAAGCTGTGACTACCACCAGGATCAATTGCCATTGTAGCAAGATGCAGTTACGATCAGCATCACCTTTTATGACGCCGGTTCACAGAGGTAACAGAGCAAGGGGTGCCCTTACCTTTTGCAGCCGCCCAGTGCAGCGGGGTCCTGTCATGCCAGTCGACATCCTTGTGATTTGGGTCGCAGCGCCCTGTCCTCAAAATCTCATCCACCAGGTCGTAGTCCCCCAAAGCCACAGCTTCGTGGAGCTCTGTCATGCTGCGCGCTCCAGAAAGGTGTTTGGTAAAAGAGCGATGGTCGTTTAGCGGGTATTCACTGATGTATCGGCTCCTCTCAAGAGCAATTTTAACAGATCAAGCAGCATCTGGATTAAAAATGAGACATGCACTGTGAGAAACTAGGATTTTTCCAAAAATAAGGAAAAAGGAATGAGAGGGGGAAAAAATTGTAAGTTGTCTTCAAACCAATGATCGCAGACTGACGGTGACATTTGGTTTGCAGTCATGGAAATTTGGAGCAGCCCTTCATATACAGGATTCGTAGCTAAAACCACTTGGCATTTCTCAAAGATGTTGCTAACAAACAGCCAGCTCATGCCAAATATTTGCCATGGGTCTGTTGCTACTCACTTACCATGGAAACTGGCTCCTCCCTTGCCAGTGCTGCAGATCCATTACGGGTAGCATTTTATTGCAATGAAAGAAATGTCTGTGCAAGTATCTTCTGGCAGTTTTTGGTGCAACTAATCAAGCTATGGCACGTTCCTTACAAATCTCATCTCCATAGCTGTGCTTTGCACTTTCCAGTCCCATACAACAGACCCCCATCAAGAAACACACACAGATCTTTGGCCCCTGCAAGGCTGTGGCTTTCAATAATCACACCTGTGTTAGCGGATATTTCCTAGCCGCTTTGCTGGCAAGGAATTTAAGCAGCTTGCAAGGATCACTATGCTACCCCATCATCCTGAGGATGGAAACACTGCAATATTTTCTCCAGTCTGGCCAAATCAATGGGGAGAAAACTTTTATATTGCCATGTCAACAACTGGTCTTGAGCTAATTAGTCCAGTCCCCCTCACAAACCAGAAGCGTTTTAGGATTTGCTCCAGCTTTTGCATTGCATTTACTTGCAATTGAAGAGTGTGATATCCATGTTCAGCATGTTGGAAAGGACCAACGTTGGAGCTTGCAGAGGCTGATGTGAGGGAAGGTTTGCAATGCTAGGGGCTAAAACCTGGGAGCCAGAGGTGGATGGGACCATTTCCCTGCTCCCAACTCCCATAAACATCCCGGCTACATCCCAAATCCAGGCTGGAAGGACACAGCACCATCTCCACCTTGTCTTCTTGTAAGAAAAAGATCAGATACAAAGGTTGGAGGGAATCACAGCCTGCTTCAGTAGGTCCCCTGACTTAGGTGGTTGGACTGTGCAGACCAGATCCAAGAGGAAGACTCATACATAACTTCTACTGAGTTTCACTCCTGCACATCTGGGAATATCTGAATATATTAAAAAATATAATAAAATTTGGAGCTCTTCAGAGGGCAAAAGTATCATTGGCTTTGGCACATCTCTGTTACTTTAACCTCTCATGCACTGCCTCCTCCTCCTCATTGCCTCTCACTGACCTTGAAGAACCTGTTCCCTTAGATTAAACAGAAGTCTTCAGAGTTGTCCTCCAAGATCTGTCATCAGTATTAAATCTATCCTGAAAATGTTTCACTTTTATGCACCCAGCCCACCAGTGAAATGAGTGCTGGACAAAAGCACAGGGAAAAAAAAAAATCTTGGACCTTTTCATACAAGTTATTCTTTTCTAAGGAAATGCCAACAAAATTCAAAGTTTAAAAATATAACTTAAATTTCAAGCACCTTTGTGCTCTGCTAGCTTCAGATCATACCCACACACATAGATGCATGGGAGAGGCAGCGAAGCTGATGATCGCATCCCGGGAACTCGCCAGCTCTCCAAGGAGACAATCCGCGGGTGCAGCTTCACAACCAACTTAGGCCAAGCCAGATTTTACCTTCCCCTCCCTCCCCTGCTGTCTCCCTTTGCTAGCCTTGAAGCTCATACGGCTGTTTCATCAGCTGGATCAACCTGTTGAGCTCTCAGAAAATTAATCTTTTTTTATTGGTGCTGGTTTTAGGGTTAATTCCCCAAACTGAGTGATATGAAGGGACAAACACCGGGGCTGTGCGAAGGAGGGTAGGGGGGTGCAGATCCACCCCGTCAGTAGGGACCCGCGCTTGATCCACCTTAAACCGCTCCAGAAATTGCACCCAAATGTGAGATCGGCTTCCTGAGAGTGTTGTTATCCCCTTCTCATAAGGCCAGAGGAAAAGATTTGGATTTTTGTGGAGGGACCTTGAGCCAAAGTGCAGTGCTCCCCCGCCGCAGTTCTCCCCTGCTCGCC